TGCCCATAAACGCCCCCCCCCGACGGAGCGAGGGTCGATTCCTCTGCAGCACCAGTCCTTGCTGCCCGCTGAGCTGAGGCACGTGGGGCGCCTCGCACCCGGGCGAGCGCGGAGCTTCCCGAAAGCTCCTCAGCAAGACCTCCGTGCCGCCCGCCCCCGTGTCCGCCCGCTGTGCGCGCCCTTCCCCAGCGCAGCGTGCTCTTCCCCGCGTGTTTCTCTTTCAGTCCGAGCAATAAACGTCGCCTCTGGGCAGGCTGGACGTCAGGACGTCAGGACCCACCTCGCGCGGGCGAAACAGTCAAGGCAAAGCGGCGGGAGAAGGGCACCTCGCGGGAGACGGGCGAAGCTCGGTCGCCGTTCCCAGCGAGCGTCCATTGCCTGAACTTTGGGGATATCCAGTTACGCTTGGGCGGACGGGCTGCACGCCCTCCCTTTTGCTTTTGGAAATGAGTCCCACGGGAGTGGCCCCTGCAGCCCGATCCTCTCTGTACACGTGTAAAGATGGCTTGACCCGCGATCGTGTGAGCAAGATTGCTATGGGAGCGGGCCGTATGAATCCTGGTGGGACTTACTTCCGAGGAAACGAACCGGACCTCAGCTCGGACTCCACCGCCACTTAGGCGGTGGGAAATAAACTTCAATCGAAAGAGCGCTTCCGGCTATGTGTAGGAAATGGGCTTGCTTCCGAGTAAACAAGCCTCTTCTTCAATCCCAACACATAGGCTGCAATCCCTTGCCCATTTGCCTGGGAGTAAACACCACTAAAGCCTTTGGAACTTGCTTCAAAATAGGCAATTAAAAAATTGCACTGCTAGTTCCACTGAGGTTAAGATCGCTTTGAATGCATCTCTGGATTAAATTCACCTCCAATCCTACTTAGAGCAGGCCCATTGAAATGACTGGAAGAGAGTTTTTAACAACTAACGTTAAGTAAGCCATTAAAGTAAGGCTAACCTTAGATTTAACCCTGCATAGCAAAAACAACAACAATACAAGCAAAAACATCCAGTATGAAGGAAAACCTATGGATTGGGCCAGCAGGTGTCTTCCGTGCTTGGAGATGGTGTGTTCTGTCTATTGCAATTAGCATCTTTCTTCCTTTCTTACTTGAGGATTCTAAAGAGCTCATCCATCAGAGAGGTACACCCTATCCTTGGAATAGGGAGCATTGATTTGGATCAAATTTACTACCTAATAAGGATACAACCCTCAACACAGAAAGAAAAAAGTCTCACTAAGTCATCCCCAGGAACTTCAGTGGAACTTACTCCCATGCAAATGCACAGGAATGCACAGTCTTGCTAAGAAGGAAGGGTCAAAACAGATGTCCCTTTAAATCCATATCTAGTAGTTAAGTCTTTTCTTTCTGCACATCTAGATCTCACAAGCCACCCTACCTCCCAGAAATGATCCCACCCTCCCCCCCACATGCCAATTCTAGGGTAAAAATTAAATTCTAAATTTAATTCTAGCTACACTTTAAAAATAATATATAGCCCTAAAAGTATCACTGATTTTCTACACTAGTCTTTAGTGGTGACTGACTAAATACACATAGAAGAGAGTTTTCCCCTGCCCCACCCTGGAGCACTCCAAAGTTACTGGACCATGGGCACGGAAGTCAAGGGAATAGGATTGCTAGCTCGTGTTTCCGTGTGCTGAGTCTATGTGCTGCTTCACCATGTGCAGGCATGCAGACACACTGGTCAAAGCACAGGCTGCATCACTGTGGTCCTCCAAAGCAAAGGAACAAAGGTGACTGGAGCCCTAACTCAAGGTAAACTTGGCTGTGGACAGGCAGGGCCTCCCTAAAACGTGATTCAGTCTCTCACCATGCAAGTTTAACCTGTAGTTCGACCCCACAGAGCCCAACAGAGCACCTTCTAGTAAGTGTGTCCTAAATAGCAGTCCTTGTAGGGAGCACGGCTGGTTGGTACTGAACTTTTAGACAATTTGTAGTAATTTATCAGGAGTATCTACACCCCTGGTTAAGATTGCAGATTATCTTTTTAAATATCCACAAAAATATTCTCAAAATACACAGTGGTGGAGGTTTGGGGTGGGGGGAGAATTTACTCTTTTTCTGTATCCCAGAGAGCTTCACTGCAGGGAGGTATAAAAATGTAATCAATAACCTTAAATCTCCTGGAAGGCCTTTGACCCTTGCCAATAATTCCCCACCCTCCTGAGATTCCACCCCCCCTTCAACTCATTTGCTGTCCTTTTTCCCACCCCCCATCCAACCTACCACTTATTAGCCTGAAAGATCAGATTTCTTGAGTCCCCACCTGGACACAGGCATACGGGCACCAGCCAGCCAGGCTGGAAGGTAAGGGGCTGAGGCCAACTCACCAGCAGACATGACTCTCAGCTTCTTGCCTTCTCAAGACTGAGAACACCAGTCCTTTCTCTTATAATCGATTGCTTACAGATCTGTTTAAAATTCATCCACAGGAAGAAAGGCCTGCTAGGGCAAATTTGTCCTTTCTCTCCACCGACTTTCCAGAGAACACGACCAGGGCTGCCTCCCTTTCTCTCCCTTGCCTTGTTCCCCCTCCCCCCCTTTCACAGGAGCAGCCATCACTTCACTCCCTTCTCCAAGCCCAGTGAGCGGACTGACCCTTTGCTACTTCGCCTTTGTCAAGCTGTGTGCATTTGGCTAAGTGCTTGTTAAGGGCCTTCTGTGCTCACCCAGGTTTCACCGCCCTCCAGCAGAAGAGCCAAGGCTCCAACAAAGCAGAGATCCAAAACTGTGAGTCAGGAAGAAATTGGGGGTTTGCTTTCTCCAGGGTGGATCTTGATGCATGGCCTCTTGGCTGTGAGTACTTGCTCAGATGTGGGTTTCTCCTGGCTTGTGCCTCTAGAAAAGGACACTGTATAGCTGGGGAAAGTGCCTAAACTGATCAAAAGGGACTGGGTTTTGGAGAAGCTCCCCTAGAAGGGAGCACTAAGCAAGACCAGGGCTTGTTTAGCATGGAAAAAAGCCAAACAAGAGAAGGCATGCAAAATTGTGTGGAGAAAGTTTTAGGAGACATTTTTCCCCCTCCTTACCAGAATCCAAGGTCATCCCTTGAGGTGGACCAGTTGGTAATTCAGGACAAATAAAAGAAAGCACATCTTCATGCAATGCATTATCAAACTATGGAGTTCGTGTCCACAAGATATAGTGATGGACACTGGTCACAAGTGTCAACAGCTTTCAAAGGGGAGTGGACAAACTCCTGGAAGAGATGACTGTTAAGAGCAACTGGTCTGCACTGCTTCCAGTACCAGAGCCCTTTCTCTATGCCCACCAGTTGATGGGGAAGATGGGCAGGAGGGTGCTATTGCATTCATGTCCTGCTTGTGGGCTTCTGTGAGCAATAGGCTGGCCATTGTGTGAATGGAGTGCTGGACTAGATGGACCTTTGGTTGACCTGACATGGCTCTCATGTTCCTGAGCTGCTCTTCTTCTGTGGATTGGGTCCCCCTAATATCTCAGTTATTCTTCTTTGCCACTAGGTCCCTTTGGAAGCCATTGTGTAGCAGGGGCCATCAGTTGAGGTGTCTTTGGGGAATAACTTTCATATGAATTTGCCTCAGTCAGGCACAACCTTCTTCCTTTTGGGGCCACTCGACACTGCTGCACACTGGGTGCCTAGGAAGAGGTTATCATTGTAAACCAGCAACCTTCCAAAGGACTGTAGCACCCATCATAGCTGACCATTGACAATGCAGGCAGGGATTGATTGCATCAGAGGCCCTCTGGAAAGGTGCAGCTTCCTCACTCAAGTTGAAAAGGCTTATGGCTTTGCAGCGGTGCTACTGGGCTTGCACCATGGGCAAAAGGCAGCCCAGCAGTGCACCCACGCTCCAGGGGGAGATGACCCCCGCAGACAGTAACAGGTGAGGGCAACAGAGGCAAACTCTGTTTTATTCTCATAGCCAGAATAGTACTATGATTTAAGTGAGTTTAAAATGCAAAACTGCTGGTGCTCAGAGATCGTTTGAATTTAAATCAGAGCTAGAAAACAGTTTTGTAGTAGCAATAGTAACATATGAAGACTGTAGAAGCAGTTTTAATGCATAGACTGAAGATGGGAGTGGAGCAAGATGTTAATTGTATGCTACGCAACTGAAGTAATAGGCATGATCCTTTGGGGGGGGCATTAAATTAGAAGTCCAGGGTGTAAAATTCCCTGGCTGCACCACTGCAATCTGTGTTCTTTGTGCATCCTGTAGTTCGGTTTTAAGGATGTCCATCCTGCACTGATCACATTGCGATGATTTTGAAGAGGAAAGATGGATGAATTAAAATGCATATTCTCCCCATCCCCACACCTGAACGCAGCTTGAATAATGTTATTGGAGGACTGACCGGCTTGGAACCTGCAGCGCTGAATATCCCCCGCCCCCAGTCCAACTCAGGGAACGGCGGCCCTAACCGAAAGCTAGAAGAAGAAGCGACCTTCCAAGAGCGCTGCTTTTCAGCGGCGATTATGCAACCTGGACATCCACTTCTCTGACCAATCAGTCCTCCCTTCTCTTCGTCCCTGCTCGGTTTCCCACAGTCAGCAATCCGACAGGTGGGACAACCAGGCAGAAACGCACGCACGCACGCACGCAAAGACGGAAAAAACCCCTTCCTCTCCCCCATCAGCCCCCTTCTGGACATCGAATCCAGGTCGCCGTCTTCGCCTGATGCTTTGCTCGCGGTTTGTTTTTCTTCCACCTGACTGCAGTGATCGATGGCATCTCACGGACCTTTTGTATACAGCGGGCCTCTCTCCGCCGACGAGGAAAAATCCGGCGGCGAACGCGCGCCGGACGTCGCCGCGCCTCGGAGCTGCGCTTTGCGGAGTCCTGCTGTCGTTACTATATTAGGTGGGCCCGGAACGTCGCTCCTCTTTGGCAGTGGCGCCCGGGCTGGCCAATGAGGAGGCGCCCCGCGGCGCAGCGGCCCGCCTCCCGCCGCCCTCTGGGCCGGCCTCTGTACCTGCCTCCGGCGCACAAGCCCGGGCGGGAGCCGCAGTGCAATGCGCCCTTGGCCGAGCGGCGCGCGCCGGGGCCACCTGATCCGCGCCGTGCTGCCAGGAGGCGACGCTCCGGGGGCTGCCGCCGCCGCCGCCGCCCACGATGTTTCCCAGCCCCGCGACCACCACCACGACGCCTTTCTCCGTCAAGGATATTCTGAGCCTGGAGCAGCACCCCAGCGGCTTGGCGTCCATGGACCTTTCGGCCCTGGGGCCGTCCTCTTCGTCCTCCTCTTGCATGCTGGCCGCCGGCTTCAAGCAGGAGACGTACGCGGCCGAGGAAGCGCCCCTCGCGGACACGCCGGCCGGCCTCCCCAAAGCCAACGGCCACGCCTTCCCCGGCGCCTTCTATGCCAAAAGCTTCGTGGAAATGGACTCGGCCAAGGAGCCCAAAGCGAGCAAGAAAGGTAACTGGGCCACGCGGCGGCCGGAGCATCCCTGCGGGAGGGGCATGGGGCCCGTGGCCGGGGCGTAGGGAGAGTCCTGGGAGGCCGCTGCACAAGGCAGCGGGTGCCCGGCTCGAGGACCGAGGCAAGCAAAACCAGCCTGGCTGCCCGGCCGGTGGAAGGGAGCCCGTTAGCTCGCTCGGCGAAGATCGCCCCCCCAGTGCGCCAGGCTGCAGTGCGATGACCCGCTTCGTGGCGACATGCAGAAGTGGGTCTCGACCCCTGAAAGAGTCGCCGGCCGCGCCTGCCCTTCCTTTGTCATTCGTGGGGGCGCAAATGCTCTCCGTATTGCTCTCGAGGACTAAATGATAAATATTTACAAAGGTTTAGGCGGTGGTAGCTGCTTGTTTGCATGCAACCCCTTTGCCTGACTCCCGTGAGCAGGTGACGCTAGAAGGGACCCTCCTTTGAACAGGTAACTTGCCCGACACTGTGCAGGTCTTCCTGACACGTTGTTCCTCCTGTTGAGCCAATGATAACAACACTAACAATCTTACTAATAATGCTTTAGAGCATATGTAGGTTTGAGAGTGATTCATACCCATTATTTTCCTGTAACCCTTTTCTTGCATACAGTGTCATCCTATGCATGTTTACTCAGAATTGGCCCATTGGACTCAGTAGGGCTTATACCAGGTTAGCATGCATAAGATTGCAGCCCCAGGTTGCTTATGGCAGTGGTGAGATTCAAACCTGGTACTTCCTAACTCCAACTGCTTTTTGGCACAGCTCACAGCCTGATCCTCAGCACATCAGCTAAGAAATGTACATACACCTAAGATCACAACATATACTGTGCAGCAGACACTTAAGAGCCTGGGCAGATTTTCTTTTATCCCAGATGTATGCAGTATATACTTGATGTAACAGAGAGTCATTTCGGCTAAGGGATGGGATGGAAATTTAATAAATAAATAAAATCATCTGTTATAATAATAGCTGTCTGTAACATTGTTATCTGTAATTAACAATACTACAAATAACATTGTTCTTGTTGGAATAATGTCAGCATTTAAACCTATATAATGCATAATATTTGCATTAGACACCATCATATAGCCTATATGTAATTTTAAACTCAGGCCTCTGTAGTAATAGTGAATTTTAAACTTATATTTTGAGATACCATTTCCTGGCTTTTTATGGATCAGCTAACCTGTTGGCTGCAGGGAAATTCCTTATCAAACCACTTAAAATTGTATTGTAATTCTAGTTGTGTCTATTCAGTAAGTCCCACTGAATTCAATAAGGCTTACTCCCAGGTAAGTATAGGATTATACCCGGGCTCTTTATCCCATTACTGTTCCCACATTCCTGAGCTCACTTGCATTGAACCCCGTGGGGTTTACTTCAGAGATCTTACTTCTGACCTCTAGGATCACACAGTCACTCCATAATTGTCTGGCCTCAGAAAAACAACTCGGGACTCTTTCTGAAGCCTTCCTTATTATGTCTCACAATTAATAAATGGAGCAGGACAGTGTCACCGCTTAATATTTTCTCTGGAAAGAAGTCTTATCTGTGTACCCTAATAATCTCAGTGAGATTTATTTATAAGTGAGTCACATTGATTTTAATTAGACTAATTTCCTGGTCATCTGGTTAGAACCTTAATAACCCAATCTTGTCCACCATTTGCTCTTTTAACATTTAGGAAGTGGGTATTTCTTTGCCAACCCCTGCTTTATTAACATTTCAAAATTTGTCATTAGCCATCTGATATTTTCAAATATAATTTTTCTATCACCACACCTGGCATTACTTGGGAGTAAGCTCCTTTGAACTCCATGGGACTTAATTCCAAGTAAACCCACATGGGATACAATGTGTTTTAGTTTTCCTTTGAAATGAATGAAATTTGTCTAAAATTGGAGCAACACTCTGGGAAACATACTTTGATCAGACTTTTAATATGGAAGCAGCAAACCTGTGCTGTTTAGAGAATTCTAGGCAGGTGGAGGTGGTGGTCAGTCCCATACTTAAACTAGTTAACAGTCAGCTTTAATACAAGGTATGGAAATAAGACCCACTGACTTCAGAAGACTTGGTAAAGGTGAACAGTACTTTAACTTCCATCAGGCTCTGAAGATAAAGCCAGAAAAATTATGCAGGGCTGGATTGGGTATGGCACTAATAAAATGGAAATCTTTACTCTGATTTCACATTAGTTTCATGGGTGAAAGGTTTGGATAAGACCCACCCTATCTTTTATTTCTGGAGGATGATCCAACAGAGCGTTCTGCAGCCTGAATTTGTCTACTCAGAAGTAAGCCTTGTTGGTTTCCATTAGACTTTTTTCCAACTACATATGTCTAGCAATGCATCTTTGAAGTTCCCATGTTTTAAAAAATTGAAAGCCATGAATTAAAAAAAATAAGCCTGAGCTTAAAAAATGCTTCCAGGTCTCCCATTAAAAGTGATTGCAGTGTGACTCTTGCTTGCTTGCACATTTATTTGGAAGTACTATTAATTGTAGTAGTAAGTGTGTGCATGACCTGAATGTTTCACATGCTTAAATGTGGCAGGTTTTTACTATGGAACTAAAATCATGAATAAAGTCTTTGCTAATTTCCATGGAATAATTCCTCAGAAGGAAGAACTAAGGCAGATGTTGAGCCTTTGTATTTCTGCTACAAAAAGCCGCTTCATCAAAAGTTCTTGGGAAATTAATGCTTTCCAATGAGGATATCATATGAAATGGAATGGATTGTCTGAATTCCGAATGTCAGCGGCAAGAACAGTTATAGTAGTAAACAACATCATAATTCTGCAGCGTAAGACTTTTGCATTATAATTGTATATTTGAAAAGGAATAAACCAAACTTTAGAACTTAGCATTTCTTGGAAATAGGATCGTCCCATACACACATTACTGTTTCATTTTCATTGATGCCTCCTGTGTTCTAACCAAATCGTTCCTAACCAAATTTACTTGTTCTAGCAAACCCTGTGGATTTCAGTAGCATTTCTGTTTAAGATGCGTGGCTTACTTTGGAGTAAAATGCCTAGGGTGGCTCATAAAATCATTTTGAGTTGCGTTCTACTCCCACCAGCCTCTGTGGGTGAGCTTGGAGTGGAGACACACTGGTTGCACTGGACAACGCTACACACACACTGGTTTCAATGGGAGTGTGCTAAGCACACCTTTCCCATTAACAGAATTGGCTTAACCTTTACTGGCTTAGTGACCCAAATTGATACTGTATTAATGTTAAAGGGCGTTGTATAATTATATACTGTGACCTTACAAATATAATAAAGGAGGGCATTATGGTGTAAATGGATTTGTCAACCAAGATGCCTGTCATGTTAAGTGCCACAGTCCCTAGAGGCCTTGCAGCAAGGACTGCTTATCTTCCCGTGTTTAATTTATAGTGCAACCTTTTGCATATTTACTCAGAAGCAAGTCCTACTGAATCAATGCGATTTGGCCTCTAGTACATTTTCCAGGGTTGCAACTTCAGGGTGCAGTCTTATGCCACTTATTTGGCAATAAACCCTATTGAATTCTGCTAGGTTTGCTTCTGAGTCTTTGCAGTTGAGAAATGTGCATAGTACTGGGCAAGCACCATTCCCCGTGAAAAGTGTTTTGAAACCTTAGCCTGTGGAGCATGGGTGGGGAATCCATTTTACACACTGTCTTGGAAACGACTGGACTCGCATTGGTTTTAACAGGATGGGCAATGGGGGACTCCCCAGAAGTTTTGGCTGGCAACTCCCACGATCCTGCCTCATGGGCTATGTTGGCTGAGCCTTACGGACATTGTCCACCAAAAGTTTCCAAGACTCACCAATTACTCAGTCCTGCTACAGAGTGCAGGATTAGGACTGGTCCTAATCACAAGGTCCCATATATGTGAAGTCCACACTCCCAGGGCTGTTGTGAGAATACCGTGGGCATGGGGGGAGGATGGACCCTGGATGCTGCCTTGAAGCTGGCAACGGAAAAGGACACAGATGTTATCAATCAAACAAGACAGCTGAATTTAAGGAAATCAGAATTCCAAGTTCCAGTTTAGCCTAGTGTTTAGAGTGTTGGAGTGGGAGGCGGGAAATCTGGGTTCTAGTCCTCACCCAGCCTTGAAGCTCACTTTGGGCCAGTCACTGACTCTCAGTCTGATGTTGCAGGTTGTTCTGAGGAAAAAAATGAGGATTACATAAGCTACCTTGGATTCTTTTCAGGAAAAAAAGAGGACTATATTTTTTTTTAAATCCTCAAAGGGTTTCCTCAGTAATTGTCAAGCCAAAATCCAGAGGACTAGGAGAGTGATTTGTAGATTCTGAATGCTTAAGAATTGAGTACCCCCCTCTGATGTTTACCCTTGGGGCCTGCTTTATGTTTGCTTCCCAGCAGAACTGTGCGCCCTTCAGAAATCCCTGGAGCAGGAGAAGCGGGACATTGAGGACCCTGAACGGCCCCGGCAGCGGAAGCGGAGGAAACCCCGAGTACTTTTCTCTCAGGCCCAGGTCTATGAGCTGGAGCGCCGCTTCAAACAACAGAAGTACCTCTCAGCCCCGGAGAGGGACCACTTGGCCAGTGTGCTGAAGCTCACCTCCACGCAGGTGAAGATCTGGTTCCAGAACCGACGGTACAAGTGCAAAAGGCAGCGGCAGGACCAGAGCCTAGAGATGGTGGGCCTGCCACCGCCCCGCAGGATCGCTGTGCCAGTCCTGGTCAGGGACGGGAAGCCTTGCCTGGGAGATTCTTCTCCCTACAGCTCCCCCTACAACGTCAGCCTCAATCCCTACAGCTATAACGCCTACCCGACCTACAGTAACTACAACAGCGCAGCTGCCTGCAATGCTAGCTACAGCTGCAACTACCCAGGCGTGCAGAGTGTGCCGCCCTCTTCGGCCGCTGGTGGCAACTTCATGAACTTCGGTGTGGGGGACTTGAACCCCGTGCAAACGTCTATCCCTCAAGGGAACAGCGGCCTCTCCACGTTGCATGGCATCCGGGCCTGGTAGACTTCCCAACCCATCCAGCCCCTTTTACACCTGACGCCTGGCAGGTGATTGACTCCTTGGGGGTTGGTTGGGTTGGTCAGAGACCTCCAGTGGATTGACTTGGAAGCCATTCAAGAGTGTCTTGGACTTCCTCGGGAGAGGCTGCCAATAGGGGTTGTCACCCTCCATGTTCAAAGATTGGGGAGATGGCACCCCCACTGCCCGATGGGCCAAAGTGGGACAGAGACTCCCAAAGCGCCTGGAGCGTTCATCCCAGATGGAGTTCTCAAGGTCTTCAGGCTGGTCATGTTTTTCAGCCTGCCACTGAAATCTCCAACTTCTGTTTCAAGCCAGGATGGCAGGGCTTGACTTTAAAAAAACGTTTTGGTCATGGTTAAAACCAGAAGCAACAACGTGCTATATAGATCAGGAAGGCAGAAAGTAGTTCTCCAGATAGGTTGGACTTCAACTCCCCTGCCAACATGGCCAAGATTAAGAATGCGAGGAGCTGAAGTCCAAAGAATCTGAAGATCTTTTGGCTTACCCCTGCTACGGACAATGCCCATTTTGCCATGTAGGATGATGGCGCATCCTGCCACTCACCTCCTTTTGATCCTACCTATAGAAAATGAATTTCAAAGAGGGTGTTGCCATCAAGTTGGTGGTGGGCTTTGTTTACTACCAAGCACCTCTCTCCTGCTTCCATTTTTTTCCCCTTAAGAACATGGGAGGGTTACTGTTCTCTTTTCCATACATCCAGAAACACACAGAGACGCACACAATATTTTGACCTATATTTAAAGGCACAATGAGATCGCAAGGAACTGCTTAAGTCTGCGGCTCACTCAGGTTTGGAACAGGGTTTGTCTTGCTGGGTTACTCCAGACTAGTTTTCTTTAAAAAAAAAAAAAAAGGAAAGGAAAGGAAAAGAAATATCTGAGCTTCGTGTTTGGGGTACTGGAGCAGTTACTGGTCCACCCCATAGGCGAATGAAGGAAGTTAGTTGCCGTTTTTGTGCCAGATCCCGGTAGAGTTATGCACTAAAACAGCTGATTGGTTTGATAGTATTAAATGCACTGTCTGTTCTTTGTCCAGCCGCTGGGTTTGATGTACATGGGTTCTCCCCCTTGTTTTTTCTGTACAAAAAACCTGAAGGAACGGGGTGTCTTGTCATTAAAGAGCGTGGCTTGCGTTTGTGCATCTTCTTGCTTTCCTTCATTCAGTGAAACTAGTCTGGCTTTAGTTTACTGGCTTAAATGTGGATTGCTTTGGGGATTCTGCATAATTGAGATGCTCAGGAACCAAGACCCAAAACTCCCCCCAAACGGCCAATTCCTTCCAATCTTACACATTCCAATGAACTGTGGGCTCTTTAAAATCCCACTGATGTCAGTAGTGGAGATTTAAGTGTATTTACTACAGGTTGGCTCCAGATTTGGTCATACTTAAAGTAGACCCATTGAAATCAGTGGAATTTAGAATAGTCATGATTAACTTAAATCCAACTGATTTCAGTGGGACTACTGTAAATCTAGATCCAGCTCTAGAAATTGATTTGACCATATGTCTACCCGAATTTACAGCAGAATAAAGTTAAAACAAGAATAATAAATATTCTTAATTTTGGCTGGACAGGGGCCTCTATTTGAAACCTATATGCAGAATGACGTTTTACTTAGGTGTAAGCCTTGTCGATTCAGCCAGGCTTTCTTACAAAGAACTGAAGGCAATGGCTGGATCAGGCCAAGAGGCCATCCTGGCAGTGGTCAACCAGGTGCCCACAGGGTCTCTCAAACCAGGCATGAGTGGAAAGACACCCTTTTGCCCAAATTCCCAGCAACTGGTGTACATGGAATACTGCCTCTAAGAGTTGAAGTCGCAAATAGCCATCAGGACTAGTAGCACATACGTGTTTCATATTTCAAATCTAAATATGCTCACCTAACTTACATTCCCACGCACATCCACTCATAAGGAAGTTTCTACTGAGTTTGTTTGGATTTTCACTCCTAAATTCGCAAGGTTAAACAAAATGTGTGGACTTATGCAAGATTAGTTGGAAGTCAGCTCAATGGGGTTCCTTCTTTAGTTAATGCTGCACACCTATACCCACTAGCCCAGAAGTAAGCCCTACTAAATTAAACGGACTTACTTCTGAGTAGACATGCCTAGGACCGTCAGTTTGGTTTGGACTACGGCCTCAATCCCATCGAAATCAATAGGACTTAAGTGGACATTTTTCGAAATGGGAAGTGTAACTTAACGCGGCTTTTGGGGCGGGAGATGGGCGCCTGACCTTAAGAATTCCTTTGCAGATTCGCTCCGGAGCAAAGCCCGCGCAGAAGAGGGCTGTCCGTCCAGCCCGGGAATGGCAACGATCAAGTCCCCCGGCGGCAAACGGGTAAAGGCGTGAAGCCTGCAAAAAGGGGGAGCTTCCGCAGAGAAGGGCCTAAACCGGTGGACCCTTTTGACCCTCGGTGTGCGGGGCGTGGGGCGTGGGGGGGGGGAAGCTGGCATTGAGAGGCGAGGATGCGGCAGCCCAGCCTCCCCCCCCCCGCCGCTGGGGCCCTCCCGCTTCCCCCACATTGCCCTTTCTGCTAGCTCGGACAACGAAGCGCGGAGCAACTGACAAATGTAACCCTGAGAGTTGCAGCCGCGAAGGCGCCGCCTCGTCGGTGGGGTGAGCAGCATGGCGAGCTCTGTCGAAAACCCTCCTGCTTCCGAGTTCAATCCATAATCTTCTGTGGATCAGGAAATGCCTCGTTACAGAGACACACCAGATCCTCGGGCTGCCTAATGCACAAAGAAAGGAGATAAATTAGATCTGCAGTTCACTCCACCCCACCCCAAGAAAGGGGACAATTATTCCAAAGGGTAAGTATGAGGACGGGTGTTTCCTCGGTGCCTGTGTATGGGGTTGTATTCCATGATAGTCACTCTAAGTAGATTCATTCAGAATGGATCTTAACTGAGGCTAACATGGAAGACAACCTTGTATCTATCCATCTGATAGTTATGTGTTTGTGTATGCATGATCTGCTTACATTAAAGCAACCAGAGAGAGAGAGAGGAAAAAATGCTTGCAACCCTTCATGCATGACCGAAAAAGTATGCCCTAACTAAATGTTAGGAACCCATCCTACAACAGGGACAAAAAAAGTCCTACAATTTCCAGAATTCTTTCTTCTTCCATAGGCAGGGCCCGTGAAGACTCTTTGTAGTCCACCCAGAGAACATGGTTATTGGAAGATTAAAAATATAACCAATATTTTCTGTTTTCATCACAAACACACTTGTTACAGGCACCCCTGAAATTCTTCCAAATGTCTCGCATGGGCTTTCTTGCAGCCTAAGCGAACAGCATTTGCCTGATTATTTCCCACACAGGCTAAAGTTCCCACAAGGCTTGCCTTGTGTGTGTTTGGGCTAATATATGTAAGAACACAGAAGTCCTCTGCTGGACCGGACCGAGGGGCCAGCGTTCTTTTCCCCAGTGCCAGCTCAGATGCTTCTGGGCAACCCCACACAGGCCATGAGCGCGCCAGTAACTCCACCCTGTTCTGCAGCAACTCGTGCACACAATCACACTGCCCCTGATATTGCAGCGAGCGCCCAGCCATCAAGACTAGAAGCCACCGATTGCCTTCTCTCCCAGGAATTTGCCCAGTCCTCCTTTAAAGCGCTCAAAATGGGTAATCGTCCCGTGGCTTAGTTTCCAGACTTCCATAATTTGGTAGTGCAACCTGCCTGCAACCTGTCCTGTATCTCCCTCCCATCAGCTTCATGGGATGCCCCCGTCGGAAGGGAAGCAAATGCCCGCCTTTCCGCTTCCACCACCCCGTGCTTCAATTGTATCTCTCTCTGCCAGAAACCCTCTTCCCTGCCTCGTTCTTCCCCTACATTAAAAAGCCCCACCGCATGAATGGTGCAGACAGAGGGCAGAAGGGGGAGGTTAAATCGCATTCATGTCTATCCTTGCCAATGAAAATGTTTCATCTGCAAGCAAAGCCAAACCAAATCAAACTGAAACCGCCCAGATTTCCAGCTTCTCCCACCAGGGCTACCGAGCCTTTCTTGCAACGCTCGTGCAAGGCCGGCCCTTGCTAACGCCCAAACGCTTCGACCCCTCCACTCCGCATGAGCAACCATGACTTAGGTTCGCACGAAGAGCTTCAGAGGAATCTGAAGGCGATCTCTGAAGCCGCCTTGCACGAGACCGCACGCACACTTAATGAATCTGAGCGAGTTAGCCCCTTCGACCCGTTTTGTTCACACGTACCGCCAAGGCCACGTTTTCCCGCTACCCCGAGGCCTGACCGCGGCGCCCTGCCTTCCCAGCAGAGTAGTCGCAACCCGACGCGGGTCTTCTCAGAGGCATGCCCCGCCGAGCTCGGTGGGCCTTACTCCTAGGGAACTGCGCCAGACGTCAGGCCAAGAGCGCCGTGGTGGCGGTGAGCGCGGGCAGAAGTCTGCCCTGGGTCCGGTGCTCTCCGGCGCGGTGACAGTTAAGCCCCTTATCGGATGTCAGCGACGGGGGCGAGCAACAACAAACAGGAGAATCCGGCGCAGTCAAAACATCCCGGGGGAGCGGAGCGAGCCATTGTGCCGGCGGCGGTGGGGAATGCCATTAGGGGACCGGGGGACCGGCCTGCCCTCTCCGGGGCGCCCCTATCGCACCCATCAGTAAACACGGATGGAGACAAGGCGCCCGAGAAGACGGGGGCTGCCTGGCAGAGAAGGGAGCGAGCTCTCGGCTGCTGCTGCCCTCCTGGCCCCGTTTGCCTTTGCATGCACGAGGGCTTCTTCCTTCTGCAGAAACGGAAGGCAAAAGTGGCGAAAATGAGGTGGGCAGAAGTGCTCGCCTTGATCCACGCTGGCCTGCATGCTCACTCCATCATCGCCCCCATAAGAAAAGGAGGTCTGTGAGTGTGTGTGTGTGTGTAGGGAACAGAGAGGTAGGTCTGATCTTACATGGTTTTTTGTTGTGACCTGCCTTGGGAGCCATGTGGCTAATGGGGCAGGCTAGAAATCCAATAAAATAAGTAAATAAATAAATAGACTGCTGATTTGCAGGGGAGAGAGGTGGAATCACAACAAGAGTGGTGGGGATATAGACACCCTGGCAACAGTGCAGGCATTACTCTGAACTAGCTTGGACTGCTCAAGATCAAGGCCTGCCAGATCATTGATCGGGTAACCTCCTTAGAAGATTGTGGAAATCAGGATACAGGCAGTAATGTATGGATGTTATACATTGTGACTTCAGCAAAGCATTTCCAAGGGGCCCCAGTACATCTTGGCACTATGATTAGGCAGATCTGCAGATGGCTGAAGAACTCTGCTGAAAAAGTAATCATCAGGCTGGAGGGAGGTATCTATGAGGTGCCAGAGGGCTTCATCACAGACCCTTCCGTATTATTATTAATATCTTGGAGGATGAGGGGGCAGAATCATCATTATCATCAATTTCATTTCTCTGCTGCCCAATATCCAAAGCTCTCTGAACATTTACAACACTTATCAATGTACAGATGACTCAGGATAGAGTGGGATAATGAGTAGAAAATAATGAACTGGACTTTATCAGGGATGAGTACAAAGTTGTCATTTATGATGGAGGAATCAAATGCACAGGTATAATATAGGTGTGGGGTTCCTGGCTTGAAAATAGTACATGTAAAAAGCATCTTAGTGTTGTACTCAGTTATAAGCTGAAAAGGAGTCAACAATGTGATGTGGCTCAGAAAAGACAAATGTAATTTTAGGCAGCATCAATAAAAGAAGTATAGTCTCTAAACCACGGAAAGTAATAGTTCCACTCTGTTATGGTGAGACCTCACCTCAAACACTGCATGCAATTTGTGAAACCACAGTTTAATACAGATTCAGAAAAGTTGGAACCAGTTCAGAGGAGGACAACAAAGATAACTGGGAGACTAGACAGAAATGTTATGAGAAAAGATAGGCAGAACTAGGTTTATTTTGCCTAGAGAAGAGGAGGTTGGGGAAGGGTAGAATAGCAGTTTTAAAGGGCCTAAAGGGTTGATGCACCAAAGAGGGCCACAACCTGTTCCCTCTTGTTCAAGATTGTAGGACACAAAATAATAGGCTTAGGTTACAATAGGCAGGTTTCAGTTGAACACCAGCAAATATCTCCTAGTGATCAGAGCAACAGGACAATGGAGCTGACTAGAGAGCTGCTGGATTCTCCACGCTGAAGAACTTTAAGGAGAGTTTGGACAACCAGCTGTCAGGAATCATGTAAACTGGATTCTTGCACAGGGCAAGAAGATGGCTTTAAATAGCCCCTTCCAACTCTGTGTTTCTATGACGTTATATTCCTATGATTCTGTGTTCCTCCTGTTCCTTTCCCCAAGTGATGAGCACATGTGTGCTTACCACACTGAGGCCTTTCTTATTTAGATTACTCATGTGTAGACCACTTCCCATTAGCAAACACTGCAATGGAGGCAATCTAAAGTTTATAATTGGGTTTGATTGGTGGAAGGGTTTATATGACATGTGGCATTGTAACTTGATGCCTCTATGCATAAAAGCAGCCCTACATTTTTGGATTTTTTGAAAAGGTAACTCCTTTCAAGAGAGAGGAGCTGCTGCCACAGGCAAGAAGTCAGCAGTAACCTGCCTCCAATAGATGGTCTAGCGATGAAGAGCTGTTGCATAGATCACAGCTTAGTGACAGTCCGTGTGGGATCTCTCTAGCATGTGTTCCTAAGACTTATGGCTTTCTTTTGCATCCACATGTAAAGTCAAATAGTTGAGGCCATCCACAGATTAAGGGTGAGCTCATATACAGGGCTGACACTTTTTTCTCCCAAGTACTATTTTCTTAAGCTTCTAAAAGCAGCAACCCTATATGCATAAACCTGGGAAGAAGTTCATATAGCTAGCCTTACTTCTGAGTAAATCTGCCTAGTATTGCAATGCATGTGAGTTTTCGTTCTCTGCTCCATGCTATTAATTTCAGTTTGCAGTTTGTTTTCAGTGCTGAATCATATCTTTTTGTATTATCACTGTTATGGTTGTTGATTTTAACTTGTTTATTTTTATTCAGTAAGCAGCTCTGTAAACCTCAGCTAATGGGCAGTATAAAAACAAAATAAATAGATGAGGTGGCCTTTAAATATCAAAACTCCACAAATAAACATTAACGGCACAAGACTACTGCTTTAAAAAAGGAAAAAACAGGGATAGGCTTTAAAAATGGGGAGGGGGACAGGCCCAGGAAGAAGTGGCAGCCTATTCCTTTGAAAGTCACAAACAGATGCACAATTTGGGGTCCGTGAGAATCATAGCATCCCAAAGCAACATTCTAGCTAGTGAAAAGTTCACAGTAGCACACACCCTCCATAGATGCATGGCTGTTGTCTGTTCCGTGGCCTTCTTCCCATATCCATGGTCATTATTTTCCTATTTATCTCCAGAGCTCAGCCCAACAGTTCTGAGGAAACCTGCAGTGATGGGCCGGCCTGTGTGAACCACCAGCCCTGGTCTCTAGCAGAGACCTGTGTCTCCTGATTCTGCTCTGCAGCCTCAGGCAGCACCATGTTTGTTTGCAGACTGAGGGATTCCACTGGATGGTCATGCTCTGTGGTTAACTGGGGGACAGGGCTTTTCCAACATTACTGCATCTGCTTTATGTGTGAATATGGTGGGAAACATCTCTCTGCTGCAAGCCTTGCAAATGTTAAGCCTGAGAATCTGGGCCACATGTTCAGCCACAGATATGTCTAACTGTTTCCCACAGAGGTTTAGGCAAGAGGAAAATACAGCCCAAGATCTGTTGGAAAGAATTCTTGCTTGTACCATCAGGGCCATGGAACTGCTCTCTCCCCCGTTCCCAGGAGTCTTCTCTTCACCCTTCCTTGTTGATCTTTTTTTCTCTTTCTTTTTAACCCAGCGCAGCATCCGCATTTGCCTTCGGCATCGTCAGTATAAATACTGCCTACCTGATCTCTACTGGAATTCTCTACAAACCAAGGAACCTGTCAGATTCACCGTGGATGGAGACAGCTTTGAATGAACGGCTTGGCAGGATTCTAACAGTTTCAGAAATGAAGGATCTACAATATTGGAGAATTTCTTTGTCTCAGTGGTCCTGGGGACACTTAAACCTGAAACCATCACAACACCTGGCAGGTCCCAGTTTGAATGCCTGCCACTCTTCCTCCTTTCTGTTGTTTTTTACTGCTCTGATCATGCAATTATCCTGACTACAACAACCCATTAACCTGCTCCCCCACCCCCTCAGCCATGATCTGCCCCCCTGTGCCATCTTGCTTAATGAAGACATCAAAAGCTTGAACTGGCCCAATAAAATTATGACCACATATGAATTAGTGAAAACTATCCTTGTTCAACAGGCCTTCAATATTGGTTTGCTGTCCTGCCTGCTGGGTTTCTTATTTCTGTTGGCTAATGCTTGCTTTTCTTTTGCTGATTTTAAGATTATATCTCAATACATTATTTTTGTATACTATTGAGAACATTTTGGGATAGAAAAATGACCTATACATTTTAATACACAGATTAAATGATAGACCTTGCCCTTTCCTCCAAGGACAAGTAGCCTGGAGTAGCATTTTCTTCTCCCAACAATCCCTTAAGAGGAGGCAGAGACCAGGCAATGTAGCCGTGCTTTCCTCATTCTACCCATGAGTTCTTCAGAGTTGAGATGCTGTTTAACAACCCCCAAGGCCCCTGAACCAAGCAGAAACTTTATATATCTAAAATGGTACCACCCACAGACAAAATGAAAGCATTGACAAACCTGGAGGAATCCCAGGGCTTACAGAAGTAGGTAGAAGTCTTTAAAGAAAAAAAAATTGGGACATGGGAAGAGAAATCCCAGCATGCTCAGGATGCCAACTTTTGGGCAGGAGGATGGGCTGGGAAATGTGCGGTGCTGGGGAGTAAGAAGGGATGGAGAATCCGGGCCGGCAGGGTGCCAAGGACCCAGAAGAGGGACAGGCTGCAAACTCTGCCATTGTGGTCCCACTTCTGCTACATTAGAGCTTTTTAGCGAAGGTGAGGCAAAACCTGACAGAGAAATCAACATTTCCAAGAGACAGAAACTTAATTTATATACTGCCCACCAGCCAAAGCTTTCTGGAAGGTTTTTTTAATGTATTAGATGTATATCCTGCCTTTTTCTTTGTTCTTTTTAAAGAACTTACAGTTGCTTACATAATTTTCCTCCTCTTGCTCTCAATCTTATCCTCAAAACAACAACCCTGTGAGGTAGGTTGCACTGAGAAGCCGTGACTGGCCCAGAGTCACCCAGCTGGCTTGACAGCGGAGCCATGCTTCACTCAGTCAACCCAAAGTTCTGATTTGCCCCAGTGGGTGAGAAAGCGCCACCAAAGCAGACAGAAGGCTATTTAAAAGTCCAATATATTTGAAAATATATTTTTAAAACTCATGCGGGAAAACAGTAAATATCTTTTAACTAATGAAAAAATAAAATCATGCCACACTGGAAGTCTTGAGGGACAAGCCTATGGCCCCCAGGTGTTGTCTGGGGCTGGAATAGGATGGTTTGGACTCCCAGCTCCAAGGCTGGGATCGAAGCAACCAGGACCCTCCCCTCAAGGCTGGTGTGGAAAGGCAGTTGCCAGCTGCTCTCCAAGGTGGGGAAGGAGAGGGGACCAGAGCGGCCAGGATACCCGTGTCTTCTGCAGCCTCCTCCAACCCCCTCCCCAAGTGCTATCACTGGATGGCCCAAAATGGCCATCTGCTGAAAGCACAGAGCAGGAGCCGAAGATCCCAGCCGCTCCTCCCCTCTGCGCTGGGTGAGGGTGAGCCTCTGACTTTGGTGCTTCTCACTCTTCTCAGTCGGACTGCACTCTCAAAACATGAGTGATTTAATGAGAATAGTAAAAGCGACAGAATTTCACATGCAAAAGTAAAGTGTGAAACATGCAGTAAGCACACATACACACACACACACGGATGCATGCAAGAACACACACACAATTGCAACCATTAACCATATGGTAATGTGACGGTTACATGCAAAAACTATGCCACACAAAAGAAGCTACAGTTTAACATTTGCTGGGACTGATTAAAAATAATATTAGAAAATCCATATTAGATCATCAAATAGAAAAGTTATGACTTACAAAAGTCACAGTGGGTCAAACTTGCTGCAGTTTGAATACTTAGCTCCACTTAAATTCCCACCAGGCTAGTTAAATGCAGTGTTTAAAGCATACAACAATACAGCAGTATATTGTAAAATGTTAGAGGAAAAGAGAAGAGGGAAAAGAAAAATTTGAAACCTAGTCAATGTCCTGCTAAGTCTCTCCTGTCAAAGTGCAGGGCTGTCATACATGGTTACTTTGTTTTTCACTTAACAACTAGCAAACAACTAGCTGTCAAGAGGAATAGAAATCCACATGGATATCTTGCCTTATGAAACTAGTGATCTAGTTTTTAAGTATTTTCCGCACAATTCTCGGTGCCTTTCACCCTTTCTCTCCTCAGCCTTTAGCTACTCCAGAAAGGTAAAACGTACAACCCTGCCCCCCACCCCCATTTTTTGTGAACATGGACTTTTGTCAGCTGTCAAAGGTTTTGTTTAAGCTGGGTTCTTGACAGGGCTCAGCAGGCTGTTTTAACAGATTTCCTGACTGCATCACTGGAATGGAATGACTTTCCTTGGCAGAGGCACAAGTGAGCATGGCAGAAAAGGCAAGGGGTATTTGCTATTCTTGCTGAACGGTTCATTGTCTGTTTCCCCAAGGCATATCACTGGATGGGCCTCCCAGATTCAGACAGCACAACAAACTGTTGTGTGTCCAACAACCGCTAGAACAAGCCATGGCGTCTTAGGATAGTTTTCCATGAAAACAAGAAACCCTGCTGGGCTTGAGCAACATGGTGCTTGTTGTGCCATGCAAAGCAGGTCACTGCAACTTCTTTCCATACTGCTCAGTGGTTCCATGGCTTGACTACAGTCTCAGACTCCAAGCAGCAAAAACATTTCTCCCTCGGGGAAAGATGTGACTGCTTGGGAACCAAAGTTTTGGTTCCATTCCATTCTGGGGTTCCCTTATAACCCCTCTGAACAGGAAACTGAGTGAGAACTTGTCAAATTGTTGTGGGCCAATCTGGCAGGTTGTAATAGCTTTAGAAAATTTTATTATTCTTGTTGTTCTGTTCTTGGGTAGTGTACAAACGAAAATGGATGACAACAATGACAACAGCTTGCCCAGTGCCCTACACAGCCAGACCAAACTGAGTCCATCTTACCCAGGTCCAAGGAGCAGAAACCTCCATTTTGCAATCAGTTGCAGGTCTCTGCCAAGTCATCTGGATGCTGGCATTGCAACGTCATCGTCCGGACTCAGGTCGTCTCAAGGCCAAGCATCTCCACCAAGTAAACCTATTAATAAGCTGTTCAGGTGTGCAAACAATGAGGAATCTCCTAGAGCTGGGGATGAGCCATTCCTGGAAAGTCAGTAGACCAAAAAACGGATTTCTTCTGAAATTTCCACCCAGGCAAGCAACAAGAAGCCAGATAAACTTGTGAAAAAGGATGGTCGAGGCCTTTCTCTTCCCACTGAGATGCCACAAGCAACTCTCCCAGGGAAGAGTGAAACTTGGGCAGACACCAGAGAGATTGTGCCAGGATTTCTTCAGTATGGCTGCCCAGGTGTAGTTTTTCCCAAAGAGAAGAAGACCTGACACAGGTATCCAGAGAATCTTACATTAGGCACAGAGAGTCTTTAAAGAACCAGAAAGGCAACTTCCACAGGGCTGTGCTACCTAGGCTATATTTTCCCCTTTATACTTGTGTTTTTAATTTGATTTGCCTCTTTAAACTGCTTCATGCTTTGTGCTCTGAATCTGTCTAATCCTTTCCCCATGCTATACTTTCCCTGATTCCTTAATAATTCTTTTACCCCATTTCACTGAAACCCAGAGCACATGCTTTGAGAGCGAAAGTGGGGAAGCTCACAGGTGGGTGTGCCATGTCTTGGGTCACACCATGCTCTTTCAACACCCAGGCTGCAGGCAGTGTGCTGACTAGCTTAGTTGTGTTCCGCTAAGGAAGCTGTGGTGGGATCCCTGGCCAGTCATCGCCAGCAACCGAGAATGCTTGGAAACTGGTGGGAGCAGGTTTGTTTTACCTCTGCACTGGCCGCTGGCGCCACTTTCAGCGCTCCTCCACCAGGCCTTGCGACTGCCTCCATGGTGCCGTGGGCAGCAGCTCCCCACACTTGCTTTCATAACATGCTTTTGTATGCTTTTTGAAGTCCAGGATTTTAATTCTCATTGAGTTGTTGTCATTTTTATCTATTGACAGCAGATAAAAGACAAACCCATAACCACAGAATGATGGTGTACTTCTGGAGGGGTGAGGGAGAGGAAACGGGCTCTGCATCCTTTGAGGGACATGCCCTTTTGAGCAAGATGGGCTAAAACAGGAACATTCCCAGTTAAGGCCTGCAGGGTCCCAGAGCTCCTGGTACAGGTGAAATTTTGTTCAGCTAGGACAGCACAGGAAGATCAGTCTGGTCTTTGATGGGCAAAATTCCACTTACTGTTTCCTTTATGTTTGCCCTCTTACTGCTAAGCAGGTTTTAAACAGCTACATTATCCTCCAGATGCCTCACTGAACTGAACACCTGGGCAAGAAGGCTTTTCCCTACAGGTCTCAGGTGCACTTTAATTATTTGGGGCAAGACTCTAATCTATATTATATTATCATTTCAGGAAAGAAGCTTATGCATGCTTACACAAACAAAGGCCTACAACTCCCAGCATTCCACCATGTTAGCTGGGGAATCCCATTTGGATTATTATTGCTACCATCATTATTTCTATACTACCACACAGCCGAAGCTCTCTGGGCACTTTACACAAATTCTAGGAGTTTTAAGATTGTTGTCTGCCTAACCATACGTGGGATTGTGCCCTCCCTGAGTTTCTGAACCACCCTATAGCTGAAGCTCTCAGGCTGACATATATGAGAAAAAGACAAACGTTAAAACCCATGATATGATGACATCATTTAACACAATTAAAACAAACATGAGAAAGGGTCATTTTAAACTGCAGATTTTCTTTAAACATAAAATTCAAAATAAACAAGCAGCAGTTTAAAATATTATAACATAGTGGGGCTGAGAAAGAACAGAACCAGCAACAAAGACACACTCCTGAACACAAGAGAGTAAGCCCCACTGCACACCGTGGGAATAACTCCACAATAAGCACACAGAGAGGTGCACCGCATGGTCCCAGTCCTGTGCGTATTTATGCAGAGGTGCCGTAAGCCCCATTGAGCCTGCCCATGATAAGGGCATAAAGGAGGTTTTTGGTGGG